GCAGCGCGGAACTTGGGTTGGGCGTTGGACTCCAGCACGCGGTAGCCGAGATGGTCAGCCACGTACTCCACTTTGAACTCCTCGCCGTTGGGCGCCACCCAACTGTACTCACCCTTCACCGCCTTCCCAGCTTGACCCTGCAACACCAATTACATTCATAGTAAAATGAGTCAATAAAATAATGTGATGCTAAATTCCGTAAATGAATTCCTACCACGGTGAATTTTGTGGAAGGAATACCAATTACATTCATAGTAAAATGAGTCAGTAAAATAATGAGATGCAGAAATCCGTAAATAACTTCCCAGCTTGAACCTGTAACACAATCGCACCGTGAATTTGTCAGAATACCAATTACATTCATGGTAAAATGAGTCAATAAAATAATGGGATGCTGAAATCCGTAAATAACTTCTATAATAATGAATCTGTAACAGGAGGGTAGAAACACCCATTACATTTATAGGTAGAGGCGTTAGTAAGATAATGAGATACATGAATTCCTATGAATACTTCACTGAGCAGTCCGCTTTACCAAAAGTCAATATTGTACATGTAGAGAGTTTTCGAGTTAATCATTTTCTATTGAAATTGTTCTTTCAGTTATTGTTATTGTAGTGACATGAATGAGTGACAAGACTAGTCTTGTATCAATTAAAATTTTATCTGCGTTAATATCCCACTTTTTTATTGTGCAAGAGCGACAAGATAATTTGAATGAGTTTAGTCCGAATGGTGCTAGGTTTCCAAGAACTGCATCAACAATTATGTATTAGCCCACCATCTTCATCTAATCGTTATTTTCTTTATTAGTCGGCCAAAATTGCAAGTTCATCATGAATTTGGAAACAAAGAAAACGCCTAGCAAGTTTCCAAATTAACTTGGCAAAGCATTTTTTACATATTTAACTTCTGCAACAGCAATATACGCTCAGTATAATGTCATTTCTTTCTGATGAATGGGTAACACCATCAATTATTTAGAAATATATGTAGAATCATCTAGAATTATTCAGCAATTATCGTGGTATTAGACTAATAATTGCAAAATATCTGCACATCACTCAAGGGAATTAAACATTTTTTGATTTCCAGTGCCGCCCCCGCACGCTTTACGGAAAACTGGTTGTGACGTTTGAATGAAGAGAGAAACAGGAAGTACAATGACGACTTGACCTTGCGAGACAGACTGTCAGCTCGGCAATCTTCCTCAGCGACGACTTCGGCAGCGCGGAACTTGGGTTGGGCGTTGGACTCCAGCACGCGGTAGCCGAGGTGGTCGGCCACGTACTTTACTTTGAACTCCTCGCCGTTGGGTGCCACCCAACTGTACTCACCCTCCACCGCCTTACCAGCTTGACCCTGCAACAACATCGCACGGTGAATTTATCTTAATGCCAATAACATGCATAGTAAAATGAGTCAGTAAAATAAGAAGATGCTGAAATCCGTAAATAACTTCTAGGCTTGACCCTGTAAAACCATCACACGGTGAATTTATCGGTTAGAATACCAATTACATGCATAGTAAAATGAGCCAATAAAATAATGTGATGCTGAAATCCATAAGTAACTTCCCACCTTGGCCCTGCAACACATTGCACGGTGAATTAGTCAGAATACCAATTAAATTCATAGTAAAATGAGTCAGTAAAATAATGAGATGCTGAAATCCGTAAATAACTTCTAGGCTTGAATCTGTAACAGGAGTACGGTGAATTTTGTGGTAGGAATACCAATTACATTTATAGGTATATAGAGGTGTTAGTAAGATAATAAGATACATGAATTCATATGAATTTTTCACTGAGTAGTCCGCTTTACCAAAAGACAATATTGTACATGAATAAAATTTTCGAATTAACCGGTTTATGTCAAAATTGTTCGTTCAGTTATTGTTCATGAAGTGACATGAATTGGCTCTTCAGAATTATGAACACACTTGAAACTTGAAGTAACAAGGCTGAATTAGTATTTTGGTTATGCATTGTTTATAAATCTATTTAATGCGCCGCGTTAGGATCTGTCTCGAGCATAGAGCATCAATTAGAAGCAATTGAGTGCATGGCTTGAGACGAGCTTCAGTTTTAATAACAACCCAATCATATTTGAACGTTATTCGATAAACTTAAATTCAATGCGAAATATATATTGAAATATATATTGAAAGCCAGTCGGCCTAATTCTCTGAGATTTCAGTACATCATGCATCAATTAAAATTTTGACTGCGTTAATATCACACTTTTTCATTGTGCAAGAGTGACAAGAAAATTTGAATGAGCTTAGCCCGAAGGTGCTAAGTTTTCAAGAACTCTTCATTTAATCATTATTTTCTTCAGTAGTCGGCCAAAATCGTAAGTTATTCATGAATTTGAAAACAAAGAAAACGCTTTTGAATTACATTGGCAAAGAATTTTTAACTTATTTAACTTCAGCAACAGCAATATAAGCTCAGTATAATGACTCTTCTTAACATATCTAGAATCATATCATCTAGAATTACTCAGCAATTTTCGTGGTATTAGACTAATAATGGGAAAAAATCTGCACGTCACTCAAGGGAATTGAATGTTTTTTTCATTTCCAGTGCCGCGCCCGCGCGCTTTACGGAAAACTGGTTGTGACGCTTGAATGAAGAGAGAAACAGGAAGTACAGCGGCAGCTTGACCTTGCGAGACAGACTGTCAGCTCGGCAGGATGTTTGTATCAGTTGGTCTGTAATCAGTGAGGCAGAAGACTGCGACACTGCTGAATATCAGACGAAGTCTTTTGTTATTTCTATTTAAAAATATTTAAATGCGGTGTGGAGTATCAGCTGGTCTCTAATCAGTGAGGCAGAGAACTATGAAACTATATAGTACATCTCATTCGAAGACTAAAATGATTTTATTCTTTGATATTTACGTGCGGTGTGGTTTAGAGGTGCGGATAAGAATCAATTGGATTTTTTCGGTACAAAAAAAATTATCCTCTGCAATTATTTTATTGATGTACAGAAACACGTGATGACTTTGGGAATATTTAAATTATAAAAATTGCAATAACAAAGAAATAACAAATAAAAATTATTTAGTTTTTTATAACAGAATATATTCATAATATATTTATTAATTCCCCGATTTAAAAGTATTTTTATTGAAATACTGTACATCATATGAGAAATTAGTTTCCATTTCAGGTAATCGGGCTGCAAATGAACCCATGACCCACCTCCTGCTCCCATGACCCACCTCCTACACCCATGACCCACCTCCTGCTCCCATGACCCACCTCCTGCTCCCCATGACCCACCTCCTGCTCCCCATGACCCACCTTCTGCTCCCATGACCCACCTCCTGCTCCCCATGACCCACCTCCTGCTCCCATGACCCAACTCCTACACCCATGACCCACCTCCTGCTCCCATGGCCCACCTCCTGCTCCCATGACCCACCTCCTGCTCCCATGACCCACCTCCTGCTCGTGCTCGATCGTGTCCGTCTCGAAGTCGATGATATCAGCGGGCCTGGCGAGGGCCAGCGCTGCAACACCGACCAGCAGCACAGCGATCTGAACCCAGGAAACATATATAAATAAATTATATATCAACACAATGTTTAGGGTGATATGAGCTCTGCAACACGATTTAAGAATCAAATATCAAATTTATTTTTTGATTTCAAGACTTCGGGTGTGAAGAGTTCACACCTTCCAGCCCTACATCTGGATTTTCGTTGGAACTTTGTTTTATTTTGCAACTTTTACTTCAATTTTGATTTCTGTCACACCCCCACAAAGATGAGGTTGTTGTGTGGAAGAAGAAACAAAAGAATTAGGCACTGAATATTTTCATAGAGTGTTTATTATGCTGCAACTCAGCAAGTATTAATTCTGTTTAGCAGGTAAAAATCCGAATTTAAGTTAATAAACAGCAGTTCTTCTTTTTGAGGGATATCACCTCGTCCCAGGGCTGTGATGAGGTTACAATCTAAGCATAGTGATCTGAACACTGCAAAGCGACGAATGATTCATATAATAGTAATCATTCCTGGTACATATATTCACTCCAATTTTTAGCATGCAGAATAAATAAAAGTTAATATTATTTTTCACAATGCTTAAGAAATCATTTCATGGGCTACGCCTGTTAATCGTGCAGCAGATGACTTCTTAAACCAAACATGGAATGGGAAAGAGCAATACAAAGCAATTATTTTCTAAGAGCAGTACAAACAGTACAAAGCAATTATTTTTTACGTATTACCTGGAGTTTCATTGCAGAAGTAAGTGAGGAGAATATCACCAGAGAAGAGCTGGACGAATACTACAAAGATGCTCAGCAAGGCGCGGCTTATATAGCTCGTCACGGGACCTTGGCGCCGAACTCGGGGATCGTCCAGTTATGGCCTGTGAGAAGTGACACCCCCCACTTGTGCAGAGCTTAGCGCAGGGGATTTATTCTTCATCAAGCAGGTAATCAAGGTTTAGTAAAGAGAGAGAGTATTTTGCCTTATTATAAACTGCACTAATTTTACCCTTATTTTTATCTCTTTATCGGGATACTCCTGGGGGCAAATGATTGTATGATTAGGTGTTTTAACGGACTCGGGTTAAGCTTATTTTCTGCTTCCAATCATTTATATCAATTTATTTGCGACTAACATATTTCGAAATGTAATTTTTAAATAACTATTTCTGCCAGTAATCATTATCAAGAAGTAATATCCTAATTAGCCTTAGGTTAGCGGTAATATAATTCACTAATTTGATACTTGATTCGTGATAATTCACGGATTTTATCATTAAATATTAAGGTAGTCATTCAGCTCATTAAAATATAAAATATTGAATACTCATCTGCATACAAATTTTGTAGAGTAAAAGTTATTTTCAGTAGAAATTCAAACAAAATATTTTATATTTATCATGAAAGTCTCTGCTTATAGGACGCTTCTTCTATAAATTCTTCATCATATTAAGACTCCTCATTTACAAGGAACCATTCAAGGTCCTGAATGCTGCAGTTATATTCCGTAATATTTTTTATGGCCGCAAAAAGAAAATAAAATGTTTTTTAGGGCGCCTGTCATTGACTAGACTAATGACGGGAATTGTAATAGTGAATGCATGTATATAAATGTTTCAATTTATTTTGTGGGTTTGATAGCCAAAATTCGCTCTCAATAAATAGATCTAGAATATTACATCCATAACTTGAAAATTAATTGTATATGAAGCAAACATTATAACATCTGTGTAAACGATCGTAGTGCATCAATCTCATGTTTTGAATTTCAAAAAACGTGTTTCAAAATGCATTCTTTTTTTACTACGTGAAGAATAATTTGGGAGGTACCGAAAAATTTGTGCCTACCTGATCATGAATTCTGAATTTGATGTAATTTTATCAAGTTTCTGATAGGCCAAAATTATTGAAACAAGAACAGTGAATGGCTAGGAAACTTGCAATATTGCCACTGTATTCGTATGCATGAATTGTCCAGATCGTCAAGGAACTCGAGGCAAGTTACCTTATAAAAACTTGCCTTGTCATGCCGCGTAGAGTCCAAGTTTCAGTGGACGCCTCGGCTATAAATCACGATCCTATTATCAAACTGTTAGCAACATCCGATTATTTTAATTTTATATCTCGGTTATACATTACTATATTTTCCTTACGATATCTTCTTCCTTGCATATAAGTTGCTTATAGAAATAAGTTTCGCATGTGCATATAACCTAGTACAGCGATCTGAACAGATATATTAATTTATTATAATTACATATTTTACTGAATTTATTTAAGCTTTTGGACGCATTGTAAATACTATAATGACTGTATTCACGAGTAAATTATAACTGTATTGCACTGCTGTTCAATGTTGATCATAGCACTGGAGATCGAAAGTTCACAGAGTCTCTGTGTATCCTGGATTTCTCCGGATTCTTCCTTTTTTTAACCTCCTGATTTTTAACACCTCCTGATTATTGTTAATGTTTACAGGTTACAGATGCTGAGATGCGGAGTTGCCAAAAGATCTTATGGATGCAGCACGCAGGGCCCGCGGGAGCCGAGGCCCGAGATAGTAAAACTGTACGGTCAGTTACCTGAATCCGGTTTTCCATAACGAAAAAATTACACGATTAATTTTCTAGGCATAACTTTCAACCTAGTTCAACCATGACTTTCAACGTTCTAACCCACTGACAAATTTTGTTGCTTCCATAGCTCTCTGTATTTTTCTTGTATTTTGATAGTTCAATAAAGTTACGTAAGAGAACAATATTATTGTAAATTTCTGCTCCTTCGACACTATTAGCAGCATTGTTTAGTTGTGTGAATTATGACCGTCACATAATAAAGTTACGTAAGAGAACAATATTATTGTAAATTTCTGCTCCTTCGACACTATTAGCAGGCTAGTTTAGTTGTGTGAATTATGACCGTCACATTAGCTAATCTAATTTATTGACTTAAGAAAAATATTTCCAACTCTGCTTTATTATTTGCGCTAAGTAGGAGCATCTGCAAATGGCAGTAATTTAAAAATAATTTACACGGATTTTTAACGACGATCGTGAGTTCTTTAATTATAAGGAATCGGGTATCATTGGTTATTATTCCAAGCAGCAATAACATCAGGTAAAGCTTTTTATTCGCACCTCAATATATGGACACAAAGCAATAGGATGATAAGAATCACATTCTTGCACTCAAATCCTCGCATAATTGGTTTCTGTCGAAATTCCCAAACTAATATTTTACGCCATATCAAATCAGCCATAAATCATCGAATGCAGTTTCTAACACAAAATTCAGGTAAACAATGACGCAGCTTGAAGTCACGTTCAGGGCAAACTCAATACTATTAATTTATGTCTCTAGCGTTGTCGTGCTCCGAGATCCTGTTCCCATGTCACCCCCCACTTTGTTCCCTGCATGCCGACCGGATTCTCAGAAACGTTAACTTTGGACGTAACTTCCATGATCGTAAGTTTCGGTATGCCAACTGGAACTGCAGTGCTAGTTTTAAACCTGCACTCTGCTTATGCGACAGATTTAGGATGTAATTAAGATCTATGGTTGTATAGCTACTGTTTTTAAAGAGCGAGTGTGACGTAATAAAGTGCCACGGATACCATCTTTTCTGTTATGTTATCCTGATTCGTTGAATTCTAGATCAGATTGTTTATAATTTAGAATATTACGATCTAAATTATGAATATGGAAACATAGAGATCTAAATTAAAAACGGCTCAAGTAAAGCAAGTTTGTTGATGAAACGAGACTATACTGAAAAAAGTGCATGGGCTTTGCATCGATAGTTTTAGCTAAGGCTATCGGACTGGGAGCGTGAATCACTCGACGCAAGAATTGCGAGTAGCGTCGAGTGTGAAATGGTTTACTGGAGACCGCGACGGCAACAAACTTGATATATCTATGAATGAAATAATCATGAGACTGCAACTCTCATTAGCTTGTGACAATTCATCTTTGAGCTTGACTATGATGTTTTATGATGATGGTCGCAAATTTAGGTATCTTGTGACAGAACTTAATTACACTGATAACGCTAAATGACACACAGTAAGATAATAATATACATTAAATTATTTTTCTCCTTCAATAGCTTACCTCAGTTTTTCCCATGGATAAAAAATTAATTAACACCTAATTTAAATCCCAATAAATTATATACTGTGAGAGGTCGTTTATATTAGCATTATTTACGCAATTTCTTGTCGTTACGTCATTTTCTATTTACGACATTCGTTCGATGGCAAAATAATTATTTATTTCATTTATCAAGGTTGATCTCATAAGATTGATTTAATTTTAGCCTTGACACGCAAAGTTGTCGTACTGAACATATAACTCGAATGTCTGGCAGGAGCGCGCGTGAGGCGTTCATGTGTTAGGAAAAACTTTGTTGTTATACGTACGTGATATGGCGGGTGGGAACTTTCCTCCATGGAGTGGATAACTGAGTCAATTTGGTTTCTTTTTTATTTTGTAAAATATTTCACTAATTGTGTATTGCATCAACTGTACAAAATAACACTGCAGGGCTCGACTTATGTTGCTTCATTCTTATAATTTTTTTACAATTTGAACACCTATTTACTTCTCTGGTGATTAAACTCTGTATGACAGAATAATTATAGGAACAAAATTACATTAAGTACGAACGCTATGAGAATATTAATAAAGCGCTACGTTGAAGTTCTAATCATGAAAACCTAGTCATCAACAGCAGTGAAAATTTTATCACTAACTTTTTTCTGAACGTAATTTTGTTTCATTGCTGAAATAAAATTACTCCTAAAGTTTGAATTAAAATTTCAGAAACTGTTATAAAATGTTTTCCGACAAAATATTCCTATAACACGAGTAAAATAATTAAACTGTATTATGCTAAATAAAAGCTGTAAAATTTGTTATCTATCATTAACGCTAAAAGAAACGAGGCAAGTTTATTCCGCACGAACTCCAAGTTCAGCCAATTATAATAAACCTTGATCGTCATCTACAGAGCAGGAATGTTTTGGTTGTTTTGAGCCACATGATATGCACCTTGAACTCGTTCAGACATTAGATGCACATAAATTTGAATTGTCTTTAGCCAAATGTAAAATTTTTTCATGCAAACTCGCCTGACATGCTTTTAATAAAAAAAAATGCTTGAAACGATATAATATATCAGAAATGCCAAATGTTTCATAGAACATAGATAACAAGCTTAGATTTCGATATTTGAGGATTGAAAAATCGTATTGAAACATATTGAGTGATCGATTATCAGTTATTTCTAGTATCAACGTTAGCATACGACGAAATGATCACACGATGGCCAGAAGAACAGCGCTAGCCAGAATAAGCGGTCAGTCGTCCTTCTGCATTGACGTCAAAGGCGGAGCGCAGCTCTAACATGTCAATGGTAATTTGAAATTACTGCTCGTTGGACTCCATTTCAATGACCATGGTAAAAGTTCCATTCAAGAACAATGTTATTAATTTGCACGGACCGATGATCGGCTAGTTTGCGCGAAATTGTACTCATTGTAAATTGTTTTTTTTTTTCAATTCTAGAAACATTTTTTCACGTTTCTTGCAGCAGATGTCCTTTTTATTTTTCTAAACGTTTTGTTACTCTATTTTTTATTCAATCTCATGTGAAATAAATCCAACGATGCCCATGATAATTTTCAGAATAATTAGTTACATTAGAAATTGTAATATCAGGGCACGTTATAACTTTTAATTTTTGTTTGTAAACCTACTTCGTCGTACACAGTTCTTTGCTAACACAGTTCTTTGCTTGCTTTGCTTCAGCTTCTTCTCAACA